ACACACACACACACACACACACACACACACACACACACACACACACGCACACACACACACACACACACCATGTTTTTGGCCCTGTTCTCTTCTCTCCTCTCATACCTGTCAGACTGGTCCTCCCTCCCTCCCTTTCATTAAAAAAACTTCTCTTTGACTGGGTATTTTGTTATCACATAAAAAACCAGGATTCCATATGACAACCCTTTACCCTGCAGTTCAAAGTGCCAGGATAACCATTATGTATTTATACCTTTATTGAGGCGAGCTCCTCCAGTGAGRGGTCTGGCAGAGAGCGCTCTCTGTGCTGGACATGCCCTGTTCTCCCCAGGCTCTGGTACTGCAGTCGTCTGCCAAGTAGCAGGGCCAGATTGCCTGTAATAGGTCTGCCATTTCCCTCTCATCATCTGTCAGCTCTCTGGATCCAACTGCAGAGTCCAAAGAGGGCTACCACTCTCCAATTAAAAAGGTTAATTTGCCCCCGTGTACCCCTCTCACCCTCCTACTGCTTCCTGTGACTTCATTAGCACTTAATTTTTCTATCTGTGTTGCTTTCTCTTGATTTTCTTACTTCGTTTTTCACATTGGAAGGCCTTTGAAACAATGCTTTTTATGTAGTGTGGGTGAATGGTTATTTGCATTTTTTGAGTCTTGGAATTTCATTGATTTTTATTTAACTATCATGTGATTTTGGCAATGCAACTTGAGTTACAAACAGCTATTTTTACTCAGTTTTCTTTGTTAGATGAATGAGATGAGGAGAGCAGTGCCACTATACAGTAGCTTTACATTTTAATTTTAAAGTGTTCTGTTATCACCTTCAGCTGCAAAACAGTTTACTTGTTTCTAAACATAAGATGAGCTTAGTTTAACACTCTGACATATAGGCAGTATGCTTTTTAAATAAATTTAGGTTTAATCTTTTAACTGCCTTATCTCATAATGCCATGTCCTTTTCCTCTTGAGTTACAACTAAAACAATCCAAAAGCCAAGGGCTTTTGGAGGGGTTACGCTCTAAAACCTTGCATGTCATTTTCAGCAATAATGCTTAAACATGCATAGATATGACATCATACATTTTTAATCAGATCAAAGTTACCTAAAGACAAGGGAGTTACATCTGTGTACTTAACCAGTTAATTTCTATTGTTTGAGCAAATTGTGTCTTTATAGGAGGGTTATATTCACTGGATCAAATTATTGTGGGGGTCACAACCCCCCCAATCCACCCACAAATTATGCCTAAAAGSACATTAATGGTAAAATAGCTACTGATTCCTTAAACATTTGTAGAAATATCACTACGTAACTCAGTAAGTTTCACAAGCATGCCAGACACGCGTTGCACATTTTCAAAACTTTTTGAGTTGTATAAAATTGACAGAAGGAACATCCGTCTGCTTTGTAAGACATGAGCAAAGGTCAAACATACTTCCTTGTTCTCACGRGGTGATGTCAGTCACTTAAAGTTGATCCTGAGTGGATGAGCAGTGCAACCTGTTCCAGGGGGGGACCGAAAGTCACTACGGCTTACTCTCATCATCTGTGATCCACTCCGTTTAAAKAGATGGAGTGATTTCGACCCGACAGACCCTCTCTTCTGATCTTCAGCGCCCGATGCTGCATCACTTCCTTCGTCCCCTCCCACCCCTCCGGTTCTTCTCACCCCCTCCTGCCATCTTTTCATCTGAGGTTGAAAATAAGGGGGCCCCCTTGCACCCACTTCTCCTCTTTGTCTCGTTTTTTTCTCTCAAGTTTCCACCCCGGTTTTACAGTAGGGGGTAAAAATCCTCCTCTCGGTTTATCCGAGTGAAATGCACAAGGATGCGTGTAGCTTTGCCAACTCAAAGATCAGGAAGGAAGCGGCCCCTAACTGCTGCCTGTGTTTCTGTCAGTTAGCACAACCCTCAGAACTGGGAGAAGATTTGACGCAGTCTGCTGGCTTCTTTAGACATTTAGAATGTGTGTGAATGTGTTTGCATCGTGCCCRAAGATGARTGGTTGTTAATTGGRTCTAAACTGAATTAATTGAATAACTCCAAACATGTGTCAGTCTATAAGGGCTAAGGTTGTTGTACTTTTGGGACTCAATGGGAGTGAGCAGCCAAGATGCAGAATTTGTTTATTAAAGGAGACATATGCTAAATGCACTTTATTTTTGCATATATAAATTATTTTTTGTGCAATTATAGTGTCTAGGAGTGTAGAAAATTTTAATTTATTCTGTCCAGTTACTGCAAAGATAGTTTTATATTATTTTATGGGTCAAATTTTTCAGTTTGTTCAAAATCTGCTGTTGCTTATTTCATTTCATTGTTTATTTCGTCACACTGCGATTTTAGATTTTATTCATGTTCCTCCTCCTGTTTAATTTGGACTTTAATGCACACAAGGTCAGCTCATAGCCTTCAGTTTTTAGCTGAATTTATTAAATATTATTATCCAGATTTTGAGTGTAGAAATATGTAGTCTGACAGAACACATTTAAGCGTGACCCAGATCTGAAAGAAAATGAATAAATATGTAAAGGTTTCTTTATTCAGCAAAAATAACACAGGATTTTTTAATGCTCCTATTATATTTCCCCCCAAAAAATATAAAAGCAATTGCGGAAGGAATAACAAATAAGCACAAATCAGGTTCTGTCATATTATTTTACTGTTTTTTAATGAGTAGCTGCATTATCATCTGTGAAAAACTAAATAAAATTAGTTTTTTTTTTTGGGTGGGGGGGTAGTTTATGCAGAGAACATAAGCTAATGACTTGGAAGGATGAATAGGGAGGTGAAGCTAAACGGGGCATCAGGAGGGACCCACCATTAGAGACCTGCCCTCGGACTCAGAGGGCAGGCCAGTTTCCCATGCACCACTGAGGTTGGCAAGCCCCTCTTTGGTTACACAAAATGCCGGCTTGTATGGCTACTAAGAGAGATATTATTAACGTTATTTTGCCTTAGTTATATGAGCATGGGGCTTTTAGTGTCCCTCGTTTGAGTGGCTGACAGACACTTGAGTTTCTGCTGCAGATTAAATGAAATTTTAGCAGCTTTTTCAAGTGGCCTGGCTGTAAAACGGCACAAAGGAAGCAGCTGCCACTAATGTAATCTAGAATAGGACGCTGTAGTGCGAAGCTGTCCACCACTGTTTTGTTTTGTCTTTTTCTTATTCTCCTCTTCACAGCTTTTAATGTCATTCTTGACACCCTTTAGCTACCCTTTCTATTTATTTAATATCTTGTTCTTTTTCTATTTATTCCATCCTTTCATCAGCTATACCTCTGTTTACTGTGCGGAGGTTCAAACTGGACAAGAGCAATATGAGATATATGTAGCAGGAGTGAAAAAATTTTTTTTCCTCCACTTATATTAAGACAGCAGTGTCAAAAGGTAGGCAACATGAGAAAAGTCCCGGGCTGTCTCCAAAGTGTTCTCTCAGGACTTTCTGTACATCATATCAGCTGAACATGTAAGGAATGAGCACATAGGGCCTTTACAGTTTGACCTTGTGCAAACAAAGTTCATTTCTCGGAATGCAACACAAGCAGTCCGCTGGGGTTGCTGCCCCTGCAACCCTCGCGTCACTCCGGGGGTTGTCAGTTCCTCTTAAAATGACAGGGTGGATCTTGAGAACCTGAGTTCATATTGGCAGGGAGGGGAGCCACATTCCTGTCAGGGTTGTGTGTTTTTGACATGGCTGTGAAGGAAAAGGAGTGCTGTTTGACATGGATGTTTTTATTTACTTTGACTTGGCTTATTCATCAATGTAGGGCAACTGCAGTACACGGCTGTCACTTTACTTCTTTGTTTTATAGGAGTTAGGAAGCAAAGGCTCAAAATTTGGTCAATATACTTTTAAAATTAGAATGCACGTACTCCAACGCGAACTTATTCAAAAATTGTTTAGTTGTTAATCATTTTTACATAATGTAATCAAACTAAACTAAACTTACATTAAAAGGCTTTGGAATAACAAGAAGTTTATGATTTCCACAAGTGTAAA